ACTGTACACAGCATCCCCAAATGCAATCGCACCATAGATTAGTGTAGGAAGACCGTCAAAGAGGCCCACTGTACATCTTAAAATACACTCTAAAGATATCAAAGGGACAGCCTCCCCCCCCCCCCAATTCAGCATGCTAACCTGCTCAGCTCTGTGTCAAGGTAATTAACTCTTTCACTGATCTCAACTCCTGATTAGCCAAAGGCCATGCAGGTAAATGGTTTTATTTTGTTGTAATGGGGGAGGAGGGGGAGAGAGAGAGAGACTCAGTGAGGCAATATGGTATTGTTTTGTAATGCTGACCTATTTACCTGTTGCAGATTTCGACACCATTTAGGAGATAATGATTGCCTTGCTTTTGACACACATGTTGCAAGTCAGCGGTGAGGAGCCCCCAGCTCCTGAGCCAAACCAGCCGCACCCGGCCACCCAACTTGGGTCTGGAGTCTGCTTTGGGTCAGCCGTACCCACCTGACTTTGTCAGGAATGGGAGAGGTAAAGCCTTCAGCCCCATCTGCACTATAAAGTAGATTCACGCCGCTAAAGTTTAGACACTCAAGGCTTCCGCCACAGAATCATGGGAACTGTGGTTTGCATGCTGAGAGTTAGAATAGAATCATACAATTGCAGAGTGGGGAGGGTCCCCAAGAGTCAGGGGTATCAACTTGATCATATATGACGGACGGCCATCTGATCTCTGCTTTAAAATCTCCAAGCAAGGAGAGGTCCACCACCTCTCGTGAACTGCTTGTTAATTGCTCTTGTGTGTTGAGACCTTTAAACCCCCCCCCCCCCGCTAAATAAATTCACACAAGACTCAAATTTTGGTTTGGTTTTTGGCAGAATTTAGGCCACAACTTTATTGATTACATAAAGTGACTGGTTGCATAGGCTCTGGTTCAACTAGCTCCCTGCACCGTTGCAGGTAGCGCTGACCCAGGGCAGCAACATAGGTGAGCCAAGGGTGAACACCTGGATAAGCAGAAAGCCGGGAGCAGGCTATCTTCGCCACCCAAATGCCCCCCTGGACTCAGGCACGGGCACAACCCCCTCACCGGGTTGACCAAACCAAGTTGAGTCCCTGGATTCCTTTAACGGAATACCCTTCACATAGGGATGGTGAGAGAGTTCTCCCATCCCTATCACCCGAACCAGAGCCTATCCACAACCTTACAAGTTGTGATGATTTGCTATGTGGTAGGCGAAACCCAAATGGCAACAGCCAATCAGTCAAGTGGGGGAAATTCCTGCCGTGCCCCTGTCCCAACGACAGATGACACATGACGGCGTAGCAAGGTCAAGCGCACAAGCCCTAGAAATAGGGAGAGGTGGGTGGGTGTTCCTATGCATGCACCAAAAGAGGAAGCTCTGGGTCACATGCATAGCCTGCATCCCATTGGCCTGATTGAACCCTGCATCAAGGGACCTACCAATCGGGTGTTGTGGTTTTCCAAACGTACCCACCGACAACACAGGGTCCTCTTTAAGGGAGGACCCGATTTACCGTCAAAAAGTTCTCCCTGATGTTCAGTCGGAGTCTCCTTTCTTAGAACTTGAATCCATTGGTTTCGAGTTGTTATTATTCCTTTCACATAGCTGCTGTTCCCAGAGTGGGTTAGCAACTAACCTCTCTTCCTAGAGAAATCTGGGAGGAGCATAGGGTTCTTCAAACAACTCTCTGCACCCATAACCAGTGCTCCTCTTCTAGAAAAAGATGTGCAGAACTCATTCTTAACACCTCCCTTGTTCTCTTAGAATAGTGCCCACCTGAGAGATGCTGGGACTGAGTTGCTGAGTGGCTGGGAAAAAGCCCTGGGTCCCTCCGCTGGTCTCCTGCCTCTGCCACACACTCTTCATAGCCAGCCCTGCCAGTCTTTGACAGACGGGCCTTTGGACTGATCCAGCAGAGCTCATCTTACGATCTTAGGAACAAAATTGTTCTGAGAGTTCGTAGATGAAGGGAAGCAGTTTCATGGAACACCAGCAGAGCAGCGACGCCTAGAGCAGCTTCCATTTTGAGATAAATGCCTACATGGATTACACAATGTTTAAAGTTACGTTTGTTTCATGCCCCGGTCAACTCTTCCATCTTTTTTTCCCGAAGTTTGCAGCAGTGCATATCCTTAGGACAATGTATGGTAGAAGGAGATAGGATCAGCCCTTGCAATGCCCACCTAGTGGAAACTCTAGCTCACATGGCCCTTAAATGTAAAATGTATGATGATCTCTGCCAACAATTTCTAGACCATCTATGTATTCCAATATGGAAACCAGAGACGGAGGTTATGTGCTTCTTATTACAGGGGAGAGACCAGGAGCTCACCAAGACAGTAGCTAAGTTCCTCTATTTGATTTTTTGTCGCCGAAGTATGCTGCAGGATCCTGCCCTTGCTGGAGACCCACAGAGATGAAACGGATTGCTCGCCTCTTCTTCCCTTTGGCAAATGACTGTGCTGTTGGGGTGGCGACGAGATCGCACTGGCCTATTTATTCTGTGAATGTATTCTGAATGTTCCTATGTGATGCCAGTAAAGGTTACTTGACTTGACAATGTTCAATGATGTTGCAGAAAAGAATATCTCAGAGTTCTTCTATGCTTTGCATTCTTTTCTCTTTTTTTTAAAATAGATTTTATTGATACATCAAAGCAACAACAACAAAACAGAAAAACAAAATGAAACAAATCCAATATACAGCAATAAAAAGAAATTAAGAATTAGATAATTATGGTTTGCATTCTTACAGTAAAATGGGAATGGGGAGTTTGCGACACACACACACCAGATGTGATCAGGCTCAAACTCCCAGCAACCATCATGGCCAGTATTCAAGAACCCAATTAGAGCCCTCTGGATCAGGCCATTGGCCCATCTTGTCCAGCATCCTGTTCTCACAGTGGCCAGCCAGATTCCTGGGGGAAACCAAGGAGCAGAACATGAGCACAAGATCACTCTTCCCTCCTGTGGTTTCCAGCAACTGATATTTGGAAGCATTGCTGCTTCCAGCTGTGGAGGTAAGGTAAAGGTAAAGGGACCCCTGACCATTAGGTCCACTCGCGAACGACTCTGGGGTTGCAGCGCTCATCTCGCTTTATTGGCCGAGGGAGCTGGCGTACAGCTTCCGGGTCAAGTGGCCAGCATGACTAAGCCGCTTCTGGCGAACCAGAGCAGCGCACGGAAACGCCATTTACCTTCCCGCCGGAGTGGTACCTATTTATCTACTTGCCTATTTATCTACTTTACCTATTTATCTACTTGCCCTTTGACGTGCTTTCGAACTGCTAGGTTGGCAGGAGCAGGGACCGAGCAACAGGAGCTCACCCCGTCGTGGGGATTCGAACCGCCGACCTTCTGATCGGCAAGTCCTAGGCTCTGTGGTTTAACCCACAGCGCCACCCGCGTCCCATGATACTTGGTAGTGATACTGGCTAGTAGCCATAGATAGCTCTCTCCTCCATGAATTTGTCCAATCCTCTTTTAAAACCATCTAACAACAAATTTGAAACACTTTAAAACACATAATTATAAAAGCAGCATAAAATAAGGTATAAAAACACGAATAACAATAAAATTCAAAAATAAAAAATCAATTAGATATTTTGAATTATGGTGCTGGAGGAGACTCTTGAGAGTCCCATGGACTGCAAGAAGATCAGACCTATCCATTCTGAAGGAAATCAGCCCTGAGTGCTCACTGGAAGGACAGATCCTGAAGCTGAGGCTCCAGTACTTTGGCCACCTCATGAGAAGAGAAGACTCCCTGGAAAAGACCCTGATGTTGGGAAAGATGGAGGGCACAAGGAGAAGGGGACGACAGAGGACGAGATGGTTGGACAGTGTTCTCGAAGCTACCAGCATGAGTTTGACCAAACTGCGGGAGGCAGTGGAAGACAGGAGTGCCTGGTGTGCTCTGGTCCATGGGATCACGAAGAGTCGGACACGACTAAACGACTAAACAACAACAACAACAACAAGGGCTAGCTGGCTGAATTGGTCCTACTTGGGCCAGCGAGGAGGCCAGGGGAGAATTAGCTGTGGGGTCTCAGAGTGGTTGATCTTCATAAAAGGGGAGGGGGAGGGAAGAGAAGGGGAGGGATATAAAAGATCAGGCTGAATTCAAATTAAAGGCCAGGAGGAATAGCTCTGTCTTACAGGCCCGACGGAAGGAGGTTAAATCTTGAAGGGCCCTAGTCTAATGGGACAGAGCATTCCACCAGGTCAGAGTCATCACTGAAAAGGCCATGGCCCTAGTGGAGGATAGTCTGACTTCCTTAGGGCTTGGGACCTCTAAACTATGGTTATTCATGGACCTTAAGGTCCTCTGCGGGGCATACCAGGAGAGGCGGTCCCGTAGATACGAGGGCCCTGAGCCACAAAGGGATTTAAAGGTCTACAGGAGGAAAGGGTGCCCAAGTCTCAGTTGCAAGCATTCCACAGGCAGCTGATTTGCCACTTTGAGAAGCAGATGCTGGAGTAGAAGGGCCATTGGTCTGATCCAGCAATCTGTCATTATGTACTTATGTGCTTATGCTGAATTTAGGATGCTGAATACAGATTGCCTGTTTCAAAGCCGAAGGGCATAAGGAACTGTGCGGTCTATATTTAAAACTGCTGAGAAATGTTTCAGAATGCAAATCGCCATTCCCAGAAGCCACGAACAAAAGTCTCCGGAGTTTCTTCGTCTTCATTTTCTTCTTCTTCTTCTTCTTTTGCCGGTGCATGAAATGATTTTGTTATTTACCAAATAAAAGGCAGCAACTCCTTCAGGAGCTGCCATGCTTGACTGCCTTAATGCACATTTAGAATATGCAGAGGAAAATCGTGAGTCAGGCAAGGTACAAGCAAGAGTCATCTTAGGCTGAGCTGCGGGGATGAGTTCTCAGCCGGGTCCCAAAGGAGACGATATTGTGGATTAGGTAGTTGCTAAACTCCTTTTAAAACAACAACAGCAACAACAACACACTGAACTGCGGCATGGATGCAAGAAGCAAGTTAAAAACCTTGATGATGATATGGTCACATATTTAAGATCTAATGTATATAAACATAGGAATACATTGATCTTAAATATGTGACCATATCATCATCAAGGTTTTTAACTTGCTTCTTGCATCTAATGTATATAAATATAGGAATACATTAGATCTTAAATATGTGACCATATAAAAAATATCGTCCCAGAACTGGAATATTAATAGATAATGTGTAATAGATAACGTGTAAAACGTGCAGGGGTAAGCAAGGAAATAATAAAAGAATCAGCTGAACAATGATTAATTTATAACAACACAACAAGACGGAAGAAGTAAAAAAAACTAATGAGATCACACATGGGTGAAGGAGAACAGGGGAATTTGAAATATTATTTATAATATAAAAGCTTTAATATAAAATTTCTAACTGTGTTGTATTTGTATACAGCAAAGAGAAGTTTAGAGTAATTAGGTATATTTTAATTTAGTTAATTATGTAATAGGTTTATGTTAGAAGATGAATATGGATGTTGAATTTGAGGTTTGTAATTTTTCTTTTTTTGGTTTTGGAAATAAAAACAGAAAATAGAAAATTAAGATCCAATGGTGCATGTCATGCATACAGAAGCACATTGTCCCAACAGCCCCATGGCTGTTTTGTTTTTTGATTTTTGGGTTTTTTGAGGTTTTTGGGAGTTTTTTTGTTTTTGTTTGTTTGTTTGTTTTCCAAATAGGGAAACTCAGCTTTGGGAAGGGGGTTTGTAAAAAAAGAATAAGTGAGGGGAGGAATGCTTGGGGTTTGTTTGCTGAACCACCACCACCACCGCACCACCCCGCTGCTTTTATACCTGCACAGGTAGACAACCATAGGAACAAGTCCAGTCCTACCATTAGGCAGAGTGAGTCAGCCACATTGGGCTGCGGCAGATGCTGGGAGGAGGCATCAGTAGGGAGGTGCTGGAGAAGAGAGCAGGCCCTGCACCCCCTAAGTTTGCCTGGTGCCCTCAGGTGTGGTGGAAAATACTGACTCATCATCAGTGTTGAGGTAAATTTCAATGACCAGTCCAGCTGGTTTCAGTGCATTGAATTGCAGGAACGGGGGCTCCATCCATTTTGTCCCTCATCTCAGCAATGTTGTTGTCGTTGTCGTTAAGATACAGTACTGCCCTTCATCCAAAGATTGCAGGGCAGTTTACAACATAAAAATGCAAAATACATAATATAATAACAAAACAAAAAAAACTCCGGGGCTGGCCCAAGACATTTTGGGCAAAGGAATGCAAACTGTTGCATCTTAAGAGCTTGGTGGTTTTCTTCTTCTTCGGTTACAATAACGAAAGCATTTGTTATCAATCCAGGGCATGTTGTCACTCTTTCTGAAGCAAAGTACAGTGGTACCTCGGGTTACTTACACTTCGGGTTACATACGCTTCAGGTTACAGACTCCGCTAATCCAGAAATAGTACCTCGGGTTAAGAACTTTACTTCAGGATGAGAACAGAAATCATGCGGCGGCGGCGTGGCAGCAGCTGGAGGTCCCATTAGCTAAAGTGGTGCTTCAGGTTAAGAACAGTTTCAGGTTAAGAACGGACCTCCGGAAAGAATTAAGCACATAACCAGAGGTACCACTGTACAGTCAGTCGTACCTTGGATCCCGAATGCCCTGGAATTCGGACGTTTTGGCTCCCGAATGCGGCAAGCCCAGAAGTGATTGTTCCAGTTTGCGAACGTTCTTTTGGAACCCACGCCCAACAGGGCTTCCACGGCTTCTGATTGGCTGCAGGAGCTTCCTGCAGCCAATCAGAAGCCACAATTTGGTTTCTGAATGTTTTGGAAGTTACGGAACAGATTCTGTTTGACTTCCAAGATACGACTGTAATGCGCGCCTGTTTGGCATGGTGCTTATCTAGTTCTGACCTAGAAACAGCCTGATCCTATGTGTGTTTCTCAGAAGTAAATCTCACTGGGTGCATCCTTGCATGCCCTGGTCCCCAATGTGCCACCTCTGGGCACCGTGTGCCCTCAGATACTCCCACCCCCCCAGCTCATCTTATGTGCTTATGATCTCCCCCTCCAACATCAGAGGTCTCTTGTCTCACATCACTGTAACATGTGAACCATGAGATGCTCGCCATCCCTTTGAACTCTAAGCATACCTGCTCTCCTTGGCCAGATATGAGCGAAGGAAGCTCTCCATTGTACAGGAGGAAAATTGAACTACACAAACCTTTTCGTAGCCTCAGGGGTGCAGATTCTGACCCCCATGCCCCTTCTGACCTTGCACCAGAGCTCCTGGTTTGAGCGCATACTGAAATCTCTCACCTAGCGGTTTCGCCAGAGGGGCTTTAAATCCTTCCCATTTATTATTTGCCATTTCCTTGTCCCAGTCGAATCTTGCGTTCAATTATTTTTTAAGGAGACCGAAAACACTCATCATCAAGGACTTTGCTCGGGTTGGAGCCTGCCTGCTCCTTGGCCTTTGTTGTTCAGTGAGGTAGAGCGTAATTGGCCGATTCTTCCCAAACGTTGTGTTTGAGACAATAATCCACTCTGTCTCCTCTTAATTAAAGTAAATAACCCCGGCTTACAATGGCCAGTTCAGAGGGGCCTTTTAAGGCGAGGCATTCTCTCGGTGCAAGGAGCTAATTGATTTTTCAAATGATAATGGTGTTTACATTGGGGAGCCAATGGGCCGCCCCCTCTCCTTGCCAGGATGGCCAACTTCAGCCTTATCCTTCAGTCTTCTTCGTCCCATGAATATCAAATAGCCAAAGATGTCACTCTGTTGAAGAGACACTCCCTTCTCTATGGTCAGCACAAATCCATACCCCCTTCTCTCCAGCCAAGATTTTGAAAGCGAATAGAATTATTTCTCTCTCTCTTTTTTGTTTAAAAAAAAACCCTCTGTTAAGTAATCCAAGTATTTTACAACAAAGCCAAATAAAGAATCAGGTGACGACTTGCTATTATAGATCTGTGGCACATAGTTGGACATGACATCGGAACATGAAGAGGTGCAATCTAAATTCAGACAAGAAAATAGGATTGTTGTACTTGCGGGAAGCTCAACCAGGTCATACATGACAGGTGGACATCCAACCTCTGCTTAGAAACCTCCAATGAAGGAGAGCCCACCACCTTCCCAGGAATTCTGTTCCACTATCTATGTTTAGGGAAGCTTTTCATGTTTGATGCATTACTGTATTTTAATATTTTGTTGGAAGCCACCCATGGTGGCTGGGGAAGCCCAGCCAGATGTTGTTGTTGTTCTTTAGTCGTTTAGTTGTGTCCGACTCTTCGTGACCCCATGGACCAGAGCACGCAAGGCACTCCTGTCTTCCACTGCCTCCTTCAGTTTGGTCAAACTCATGCTGGTAGCTTCAAGAATACTGTCCAGCCATCTCGTCCTCTGTCCTCCCCTTCCCTGCTTTAGCCGGCCAATCAAAACCATTCCAAGGGTCACATGTGGACAGCTTCTGTTGTTTCGTTATTTAGTCGTGTCCGACTCTTCGTGACCCCATGGACCAGAGCACGCAAGGCACTCCTGTCTTCCACTGCCTCCTTCAGTTTGGTCAAGCTAATGCTGGTAGCTTCAAGAACACTGTCCAGCCATCTAGTCCTCTGTCCTCCCCTTCTCCTTGTGCCCTCAATCTTTCCCAACATCAGGGTCTTTTCCATGGAGTCTTCTCTTCTCATGAGGTGGCCAAAGTCTTGGAGCCTCAGCTTCAGGATCTGTCCTTCCAGTGAGCACTCAGGGCTGATTTCCTTCAACATGGATCGGTTTGATCTTCTTGTAGTCCATGGGACTCTCAAGAGTCTCCTCCAGCACCAGAATTAAAAGCATCCATTCTGCGGTGATCAGCCTTCTTTATGGTCCTGCTCTCATTTCCATACAGAGCCAGTGTGGTGTAGTGGTTAAGAGCGGTAGTCTCGTAATCTGGGGAACCGGGTTCGTGTCTCCGCTCCTCCACGTGCAGCTGCTGGGTGATCTTGGGCTAGTCACGCTTCTCTGAAGTATCTCAGCCCCACTCACCTCACAGAGTGTTTGTTGTGGGGGAGGAAGGGAAAGGAGAATGTTAGCCACTTTGAGACTCCTTAAAGGGAGTGAAAGGCGGGATATCAAATCCAAACTCTACATCACTACTGGGAAAACCATAGCTTTAACTATACGGACCTTTGTTGGCAAGGTCCCAGCCAGATGGGCGGGGTATAAATAATATATTATTATTATTATTATTATTATTATTATTATTATTATTATTATCAGCACAGCACTACTGGGCTACATGGAGAAATTGCCCAACTCACAGCTGCTTCCTTTGTTCCTATAAGCATTGCTGAAATGATAACTGGGGAAGGATAATAGATTAGAATCATAGAATTGTGAAGGGACCCCGAAGGTCATTTAGCCCAACCCTCTGCAATGCAGGAATCTCAGCATGTGGTTTTCCATCCAACCTGAAACCATACCAGACCCTGCTTAGCTTTGCAAGTGTGCCAGCCGTTTTATTGCTACCCCACTCATTAAAAAAGTAAAGGTGAAGGGACCCCTGACCGTTAGGTCCACTTGTGGACGACTCTTGGGTTGCGGCGCTCATCTCGCTCTTTAGGCCGGGGGAGTCAGCGTACAGCTTCCGGGTCATGTGGCCAGCATGACTAAGCTGCTTCTGGCAAACCAGAGCAGCGCATGAAAACGCCGTTTACCTTCCCACAGGAGCGGTACCTATTTATCTACTTGCACTTTGATGTGCTTTCGAACTGCTAGGTTGGCAGGAGCAATGGGGAGCTCACCCCGTCGCGGGGATTCAAACCACCAACCTCCTGGTCAGCAAGCCCTGTGGTTTAGACCACAGCACCACCCGCGTCCCTTTACGCCACTCATTAGATCAGTTCATATTTGGGAAAGGGGCATAGCTCAGTGGTGGAGCATTTGCCTTGCATTCAGAAGGTCCCGCATTCGATTCCTGGCATCTCCAGGTAGGGCTGGGAGAGGGTCCTTGTCTGAAATCCTGGAGCGCTGCTGTAGACAATACTGAGCTAGATGGAGCAATGGTCTGATTTGGTAGAAGGCAGCTTCCTCTGTTCCTCGGTTGTATGACCCTGGGAATAACGTCCCGCTTGTTTCAGCACCCGCATTCAAAGGCCCTCTTATCCGCCTTGCAATCTTTCCAGGTAAATACATTGACAAAGTGGCGGTTTTTGGCTACCCTGTAATTAAGGGTGAATGCGACTTGCTTAATAAGGGCTGAGGGGGCCACCATCACGTCGGCTCGATTTACCTTAGGACAAGAACTTTCCAGCGGAGTCTCCCTGGCTGGCTTCGTGCCCAAGCCCCCGCTGGGCATGATTTCTGCCAAGCGAACGAAACCAGGAGACTCTGTACCTTCTCCCGCCCCCCGCCTTTCCAGAAAGGCTCTGGCCTCCCCAACCATTTGTGCAATTGCGGTCTTTCTCGACTCCAAAATCGCACTGAGGTTTTGCAGAGAGAAATTTTTTAAAAAATTAAAAATTAAGGAAGGGAAGCAAATTAAAGCCAGGGGGATATAGAGAAAGAATTGGGTTGGGGGGGAGAGAAAGAGGGAGAACAAGAGAAAAGGAGGCAGGAAGGGGGGGACGCGAGGCAGAGATTGCGGCCAGCTTCACAAATTGGCACAGCCTTATCAACAGCATTTCATGGTTTTCTGGAACTCTTTCAAAGGGAACTTGCCTTTGTGTGCGATGGCTTAAGCTTTTCTGATATTTAAAGCTATGCTTAAAAGTTTACAGGGAAAAAATTACTTCTTAGTTTTCCTCTCTGTCTCTTGCAAACTGCCAGCGCTGGTCTTCAGCTTTCCTTCTGTGGATTCTTGCTTCTTGCCACTTTGTTCTGCCAGCTCCCAATTTTTCCTTCTGCCGTGGGCACACTGCCTGCCTGTCCTCTCTCCTCCATCCTTCACAGGGCTGCAAGGGAAGGGAATGGTTGGGGGTTCCCTTGATTTCTCATGAAAGCTGCTTCTCAGGCTGGCTTGGAACAAGGACTCTTCCAGCCCCACATTCAGCTTCCAGCGGTGAGCAGCTTGATGCCTCTAGGAGGCTCACAACCAGAACATTAAGATGGTGGTGGCATCTGTCTGTCTCAGGAGACAATGGAGGAGTGTGCCTTTGGAGGTGAAGTCAAACTGTTGGAAAGTTACAGCACCTGCTGTGGCCGTAGAGCCTAATATGGGAGAGACATGTTTTGTTGCAGCTGGGGCAGATGACGGCATCTGGTTTCGCTGTTACAGATGCGCCAAGGTGTTTCTTCTCTCTGTGCTCCTCCCAGCAGTCATTTCTCTTCTGATCACTTCTGTGGATACACAACCAAGATGATATGATACAATACAATAGAATAATCTTTGACATTGTCCCATACAGAACAACGAAATTGAAAAAATCTACATAAGACATTCAAAAACCAACAGGCCTGCTATCCCAGCTATCCCAACCTGGTTAGCCCCCTAAAAACTCTGATACCCCATTTTTAAATACAATATACTCCTTACCCTGCGTTTAAAACCAAAATCGCATTTGGATAGAAACTGTTTCTCAGGCGGCTAGTCCTAGTCTTTATAAACCTTTACCTTCTTCCAGAAGGCAGAAGCTGAAAGAGATCATTTCCGGGGTGCGCACTATCCTGCGCTATCTCTACAGCTTTCTTATGGCACCTGGAAGCATAGATTTGATCCAAGGTTGGAAGAGTGCACCCAGTTATTCTCTCCAGAGACTTTACCACCCTGGACAGCACTGTTTTTTCCCTGACCGTGCATGATCAAGGGTCTGGAAACCAAGTCTTATGAGGAATGGTTGAAGGAGCTGGGTATGTTTAGCCTGCAACCCCCTGCAATGCGGGAAGCTCAACAAGGTCATCCATGACAGGCAGACATCCAACCTCTGCTTAAAAACCTCCGATGAAGGGGAGCCCAACACCTTCCGAGGATGTCTGTTCCACTATCGGACAGCTCTTACCATCAGAAAGTTTTCCCTGATGTTTAGCTAGAATCTCCTTTCTTCTAATTTGAATCCATTGGTTTGGATCCTACCATTTGGAGCAGCAGAAAACAACCTCACTCCATCTTCCATGGGACAGTCCTTGAGATATTTGAAAATGGCTATCATCTCACCTCTCAGTCTCCTCCTCTCAAGGCTAAACATACCCAACGCTGTCAAATCGTCCCTCACCTGAAGGGGTTTGAACCTGGGACATCTTGAGTACAAAACAGGTGGTCTGGTATTGAGCATCCGGGGCCCACTGAGCATCTCTGACAAAGGGGTATTGCAAGTGTGTCCTCCTTTTCAATGGTGAAATGTTGGAGGGGGTATCTAAAGCTGGCCTGAAGTAGAGAGCTCCAGAGTGTTAACTTGGGACGTGTCATGGTCCGGTTCACAGGTGATCGAAGTCCCAACAGGGGATGTCGGGACCAGGGGCAAGATGGCGGGGTGGGAGCAGGAACAGGGGTCCAGAAGCCAGGAGTCAAGAAGCTAAGGGTCCGAGGGTCAGGAAGCAAGGAGTCATGAAGGCAGGGGTCTGAGGATCAAGGAGTCAAGGAACCAGGGCCGTGAGATGTTTGGAGCTGTGGGGGCTCTCAATTTTGGAGGGATTCTGAAACATGTTTTTAAATATCACATGGAGTTTAGTCTGGACTATGGAAAAGGGGCTGATTTGTTGAAAAGGGTCAAAAACATTATCAAGCTGGAGTTCCCACGACTGAAAGGTGAATATGAAGAAGAGCTGCGGAAGGGACATGGAAGAGACTTAAGGGCCTCGGATATAAGGTTACCAGGTTAATGCGCTAGATCGATGAGATAAAAAGGACTGACAAAACCCGGGACCAGGAGGAAGGGACGCTGGATGAAGATTGGATTGTTTCTATTTCTTTTTCTTATCACTAGGATTGTTTTATAAAATTGATGACTCTTAGAAAAATGTTGGAATGAAATTACCTGGCTCTAGCAAAAATGTTTAAAGAATTAGGCAAGAATATTATGGTTATGAGAAGTGGGTAAAAATAAGATTTAAGTTTTAAGGTTTTTTATAAGATAAGATGAAAATAGATTAAGGTAATGTAATGACAGAATATTATGAAATATGGAAAGGATTTGCTGCGATAATTATTAACTAGGATACAAAAAAAGGGAGGAGGAGGAGGTCAAAGAAAGAAGGTAATGAAAGCTGAAGATTATTTTTATCTGTTTGTGGTGTATTTTTGTTTTTTGAATTTGTATTGTCGGATGTGGCTTGTTTTCTTTTTGTTTTTTTGTTTTTTTCTTTCTCTGCTTTGTCTTTTTCTGTAATCTTAAAAAAAAATTTCAATAAATATTATTGGGGGAAGAAAAAAAAAAGGAACCAAACACAGCTAGGCAGGGAACGTGTTGCTGTGGCAAAGAGCTGAAGAGAAATCTCACCTTATATCCCTTCCCAGCTCTTGCCACCAGGTGCTGTGAGTTACCAATTGGCCTCACCTGTGAGGCCGCGCCTTGCCTCTTCAGAACAAACTTAGGAAGGCCCCAGTCCTGGTCGCAGGGCCTGGCTTCTGGACGCACACCTGACAGGACCCTGTCCAGAGTAGAAGAACCTCACAACTCATGGGCCATTCCCCACGATAGAAGCATAGTATCATAGAGTTGGAAGGGACCTCAAGGATTCTCTAGTCCAGTGATTCTCAACCTGAGGGTCCCCAGATGTTGTTGGACTACAACTCCCATCCTTCCTAGCCAGCATGACCAGTGGTCAGGGATGATGGGAGTTGTAGTCCAACAACATCTGGGGACCCACAGGTTGAGAACCGCTGCAGTCTAGTCCAACCCCCTTCAATGCAGGAATCTCAACTAAAACATCCATGGCAGATGGCCATCCACACTCTGCTTGAAAACCTCCAAGGAAGAAGAATCTGTGACCTTCTGAGGGAGTCCATTCCACTCTTCCCGCTGTTACTTCCAGCTGAAGTTTCTTGCTAAGCTTCTGCTGGAAGTTTAAGCATTTGGTTACTGAATGAGCAGTGAGCGCTCACCCGACGGATTGCGGGGAGGGGGGAAGAGAAAGAGAGAAAGAGAAAAAAAGAAAGCAACAGAGATGAAGAAAAAGCAAAAAATGCCAAGAGAAAGAAAGATCAATCACTAATCCCCCTAAAGTAACTCTTTGTGGGCAGCACGTCTAAGTTTAGAAATCAAAACCTAGAACAAAAAAGGGAGGCTGGTGCATATATTATTTGCCTTTGGACCACATTCTGCTGCTTTCCTCATACCCTCCGGTGTATCCTGTTCACCCTTTCAGACTGGTGTCCTGCATGGCACCATGAGTATCGGGCAGAGAGAGGTGCCCGCCTTTGCCCACAGGAAATTCTCTATCTTCCCTGGCATCGCGCCTCTTACCTAGCAAAATTAATTCCAAGCACATCCTTGGTGGGTACATTTCTCACCCCCTTTCTCCCCACCCCCTCCCTTATTTGCTTTGTGTTTATTTCTGATTCAGTTATCACTAAAATACACATTTTAATTATATTGTAGGAGATTCAAACTTCCTTTGCTTTGAACATTTACATAAACAGTTTCGTTCGGCATACCTTCACCAAAGCCTGGAAACCCTTGCAGAATACTGAGTGTGTTTCTTACAGCTCGATCCACCTCCAAATTGAGACAAAAGTACTCAGATTTAAGCTCATTTAATGCCTTTTGAAAATAATGGCACCAAGTCGTTTTTATAAAAAAACCGCAGCAAGTTGATCTGACTTCGCCTTGTGAGTCGGAACTTACACATGGTGCTTTAAAAACTGCAAAGATATGCACCAGGGGGCTTTCAAAAAGTGTATTTATCTGTAGCGCCCAAAGGGAACTGATTTTAAAATGGCAAGTTCCTAGTCCTCAGAGAGATGTTTCAGGGAAGTGCAGGCAAAGTATGAAAACAAAGGAGGGGAGTGCAGGAAGGCTGAGCAGTCAGATGCCACGGGAAGTTCACATGCAAGTTATGATGAAGACAACATTTTGCCTCGGTTTTTTATTTCTTCCAAATTTTGCAGCTGCAGTAGAATTTGGCGGCAGAATGTTTTATGCCACCACTACACAAATTTCAAGCAGTTTTAATGCGAATTTACAGCACTTGGATTGCTCATATCTCATAATAGATGTAATTTTTGCCTAATATATACTTCTGGCAGCAAAGTTCACCTATGAGATTTTTGTACATTATTTTATGAATGTACACATTTTCTTTTTATCAGCATGTTACAAAACAATATGAACATGAAAAATGAAAACAAAAAATGCACATTTTGGTTTTGTTTTTTAATTTTTAATTTATCCTTTTCAAGTTTATACATTTCACTCATTTTACCACCATTTTGACCTTTCAAAACTCAACTTCCTTCCCCCTCTGTCTGCAGTTCCTTGAATTTATTTTTTAATATCTTCTGCATATACAGATTAACTTAATTTGCTCATTTATTCATCTACTTTAAATATAAACTCTTACAAAACTGCAAGTTATTACAATAATCCTGCCAGTGTTCTTATCTGTTTACAATTTATCTGTAAATATTAAATTTAAAAAAAAATTCCACTCTTTTATAAAAAGTTTGTTATCTTAGTTTCTTATTTTTCCAGTAAGTTTCGCCATTTCTGCAGATTCCATAGGTTTTTGTACCCATTCTTCCTTAGCTGGGACTTCTGCTTCTTTCCACTATTGAAAAGGAAAAATACATATGGAGAGATACAGTGCAAAATGAAGCAAATTTTGGAAAACACCGTTTTGGTTCTCATGTCACTTCATGGAGTGCAAATCTGGTAGGTTTGCATTAAAATAGGATCATAGGAAGACAGATGCTTATACTGATTCAAACCAGCAGTCCATTTAACTCAGTATTAAAGTAACTGAAAGTGGCTCTCCAGAGCTTCAGGCAGGGATAATAATAATAATTTATTATTTGTACCCCGCCCACCTGGCTGGGTCTCCCCAGCCACTCTGGGTGGCTTCCAACAAAGATTAAAAATACAATAAAATGCCACACATTAAAAACTTCCCTCAACTTCAGATGTCTTCTAAATGTCAGGTAGTTGTTTATTTCTTTGTTGGTTTTTTTTAATAATTTTTATTAAAGTTTAAAACAACATAAAACAAAAAAAACAGAAAAACTCACATAAAAATAATACAAAACTTAACAATAAAAACACAAAACACAACAATTAAAAACAAACTCTCTTTTCCATTTCCAATTTTACGTAACTTATTTTCTAGACTTCCTCAAACCTCCCTCCTTTGTATTCCAGTCCACATTGTTTGTTCAGCAGTTTCTTTTCCACTTTTTTAATCCCAATCTTTAATTTAGTAAAATGTTAAAATATATAACTTCAATTTTTTAAACCTAGTCCTTAGTCTTAATATCATATAACTTTAAAGTTTCCCTTTTAATATCAAATTTCCATAACTTTAACCTGTGCAGCTGGAAACCGCTTGTTTTCAGTCCAACATCACTCTAACATTCCTTAATTTTGCAGTGTTTCTGAAGATAGTCTTTGAATTTCTTCCAGTCTTCCTCCATCGACTCTTCTCCCTGGTCACGGATTCTACCAGTCATTTCAGCCAGTTCCATATAGTCCATAAGTTTCATCTGCCATTCCTCCAGCGTGGGAAGTTCTTGTGTCTAGTTGTTTATTTCTTTGACATCTGATGAGAAGGCGTTCCACATGGCGGGCGCCAATACCGAGAAGGCCCTCTTCCTGGTTCCCTGTAGCTTTGCTTCTTACAGTGAGGGAAACGCCAGAAGGCCCTCAGCACTGGACCTCAACGTCTGGGCCGAATGATGGGGGTAGAAACGCTCCTTCAGGTATACTGGGCCGAGGCCATTTAGAGCTTTACAGGTCAGCACCAACACTTTGAATTGTGCTCGGAAACGTACTGGGAGCCAATGTAGATCTTTCAAGACCGGTGTTATAAGGTCTCGGTCGCCGCCCCCAGTCACTAGTCTAGCTGCCGCATTCTGGATTAGTTGTAGTTTCCAGGTCACCTTCAAAGGTAGCCCCACATAGAGCGCATTGCAGTAGTCCAAGCGGGAGATAACTAGAGCATGCACCACTCTGGCGAGACAGTCGCAGACCTCCTTTGAGATGTTGGGGATCGAACCAGGAACCTTCTGCATGCAAGGCAGCTGCTCTGCCACTGAGCTATGCCCCTTTCCCCAAATATGAACTGAACTTGTTTCTTCCCCTGCACTCAGTGGACATGTGCATCATATCGCACCCTTAATGAAATAAGCAGTTAATAAGCACAGTTGCAAGGCTGCCATTTTCCTCCATGAGGGCCTAGAGAAATGGATACTGTTAACTCCTCTGGGCGGACCCTGGCAAGTCTTGGTGGAATTATTGACTCGGCTCAGCTCTTTGTGTGAGTGTCTGAGAACAGAACGATTAGCAACTCCCTTGTGGATGGAGCCTAAATAGCTGTTGTTTGGCCTGATAACTGATGATTCATCCATGCAACTTCAGATAAGGGTGAGTATTTTTATGGAAATCCAGTGCTATTATTTTGGAAAACCATTACATCACCACATTCATCTCAAGGGAAGTTTTTTTTTCCCCCTCCTCCTCTTCCTCCCCTTCCACAAAGCTTAATTCTCGTCACAATTACCAAAGTGTGAATCTGGAATATCTTCCATCTCCAAAGTCCCAGGCAAGCACGTGGGACTCCCAAATCATGCAGACGATCTCCTTTCAATCAGCAATGAGGCTGGCTGCAAGGATGAGTAGAACCAAACATCACAAAGAGAGAGGGGAGTGATTTGTAATGTTTCCACGGTTGTCATAATCTAATAATATTATCAGCAATGAGGATAAGATGAGAGGGGAAGAAAGCCCTAATTCAATCAGCACATGTTTCTATCTCCTCTCTGATTGCTTTTAATTCGTTGACTTCCTGGGTTTCATCTCCAAGAATCTGACTTCATCGCAGAATTGAAAATAAAGCTTAAATCAAACCAGACACAGATATCTAGCCAATCAGCCATTAGAGAAACCCATGGCATCCAAGGGGGTTTCCCAGCATAGCATGTTATCAATCACTCATTCTCATCTGTGGGGAAATCATGGAGGTCAGAAGATCAGGGGACCCTCCATGATGGTGGTAAATGTGAGCTAGTATCTTTCCATACTGCTCAATTGTCCTGATTTAAGTGGGATATCACGGAATTACAGAAGCCATCCTGGCTTCTGATTGGATCCCAGTATGTACCTTTTTTTGGTCTGGCCCTCTGGCGTATGTCAACTAGCTCGTACCAGAGTGCCAGACCAAAAGACGTTTTTAGCGCTCTGTATCTCTCTCTTTTTTTCTCTCTTTTTTTTTGTCTCGCACCCTCACACGAGTCTCCTGGCTCGCACCAGAGCACCGGACCAAATGACGAGCATCCCAATTTTGATCAGCGGGATGTTGAGAGGCATATCTTCCATCAAACTTTCGTTCGGAAATATTGGGAGCTGGCCGAGACCAGGGGTGACCTGGGGGAAGTCAGGGCGTTGCAGAAGGACTAAAGCTCAGTGGAAGTGCAGCTGCTTAGCATGCAGAAGGTTCCGGGTTCAATCTCTTGCACCTCCAGGTAGGGCAGGAAGTGACCTAATCTGAAAATCCTATGGAGAGACAGTGCCGGTCAGCGCTGACAGTACTGAGTTAGATGTACCTGTGGCCTGACTTGGGATAAGTCAGCTTTCTAGGGTCTGGAAAGGGACTTCCCCATGATTCAGCAAGGCAACTTGTTTTGAATGAATGAATGAATGAATGAATCTTTATTTGCGTCAGCCATCGGCCATAGCAATAAAACAATACAATGTACAAAGAATAGAAATAAAAAGTCAATTATATAAAATACATTTTAGGAGTTTTGAATCAATAGTCAAATAGTGGATCTCATTCTGATTGCCCCAGCTGAAAACCTTGCAGTCTTTGCTGTCACCTGCTCATCTTGATCTGCCAAGAGAAAGGACACTGTGGCAGTGGTTGGGCAACCCGGAATGTACAATAAAAAAGGGGTGATAGTCTCATTCCTCAAGTCTTTATAAAGAGTGCAAGCCAGAAGGGCATGCGCCACCGATTCAGAACTGACGTCTCCACAGGGACATAAGCGTTTTTCATGTGGAATCTGTTGGAATCGTCCCTCGAGTACAGACGAGGGCAATACATTCAAATCTTATGAGAGTAAAAGTGTGTCTATACTTTAGAATTGCTAGGTTATGCAGATAGGGTGCCAGAGAGTCAAAATGGGAAGGTGGAAAATAGTCATACCATGGGCAAAATTTCCTTATTGTAGCCAAGTTGTTCTGACGCTCAATATCATTTAGGCACTGACAAATTAGACTGTTTGCTTTACTAAAACCCAAAGTGAGTAGCTGCTGTGGTGATAAAACACAAGAGTGAAGTTTTTTATAGACGATTTTTGTCCAGGCGCTCTTGTGACCATCTTGCAGCACTAAGGATATTAGACCCGGGGGGGGGGTTGAGTTTAGGTGAAGCCAGTAGTTAAGTGTCCTTCACCAGATCCGTAATTCTACCGAGGGAAGATTAGCCTCTAAGCGCAATGATGCGTTTGGGACACAGGGTGGTACAGAGAAAATTTGCCTTAAGACCTTTGATTGGACAGTTTCCATAGATCCAAAATAAGTGCCTGTCCAAATCTGAACCCCATACAATAACTGTGCTAGGGCAACTTGTTTTAATATAAGGACACAGTGAGGTAAAGGTAAAAGACCCCTGGATGATTAAGTCCAGTCAAAGGCAACTATGGGGTTGCGGCGCACATCTTGCTTCAGGCTGAGGGAGCCGGTGTTTGTCCACAGACAGCTTTCCGGGTCATGTGGCCAGCCTGACTAAACCACTTCTGGCACAATGGAACGCCATGACGGAAGCCAGAGTGCACAGAAATGCCTTTTGCCCATGCTTTACCCCATGTCTTTATAAAAACATGGTGAAAGCATTGTCTAGGCCACACCACAACAAACAGGAGCAGGTTAACTTGCAATCTGACCAGGATGTGCTATTCACCACACCTGTGGTTGTAGAGTTTGTTTGTGACGCAGGTGGAGGAAGCCTGTCCCATCCTCACATGCACCATTTTAATTTTTATTTCTGGAGAGACAAAACCTTCATCTCGTCTGCTAAGAGGCTCGTGCAAAGAGATCAGAGGCTTGAAGGACTCTCCTGACCGGGGGAGAAAAATGTTTAAAAACCCAACAACATAAAAACCAAGAACTTTTGATGGCTGGCACAGTTAACGAGCGTGTTTTGCCTGCCATGACCTCATTACTGCTCATTTTTCCTTTCTGTTTTTCAACATGGAGAAAAGTGTTAATGAATCAGGCTTTTGGAAATAATGCACACCTGGGGTCCTTTAAATCACACCGCTGACACCTTTTGAACAAACACATGGTCCATGCTTCAAATGACCACCTGGGGGATGCTGTCCAGACCAAAACGGGTGTTTTAAAAAAAATTTAAACGTTGATTATTATTTTTTGTTCGAGGCAGACAGCAATTAGAAATACAGAATCAAAACACTTAAATATCTTCTTCTGTCTTTCTTTTTTAAATGCCTGCTTTTAAAGAAGCCCTTTCTCTTTCCAAGATGCAAGAAGTGTGTTGGAATGCAAGGACCTTGCAGTCTTCCAGGTAGGGCTGGGGAATAAATTTGATTCAATTTACAATTTAGAGGCCATTTTACTTAATTTGCACTTTTCAAAGCATTATACAAATGGAAACACAAACCACCCTTCAAAATCCGCACTTCTCCAATTTTTGAAATGTAGTTCTCTAGCCAAGTAATGGGTACTCATATAAACAGCATGCTTAAGCCTAATTGATGCATGAAGGAGTTAATACCATAGAGTAAGCTGTCCTGTCAGGCTTAGCTAAGTCCACTTCCCCTCCACCTTGGGAAGAACTTGATAATCAAGCCCTTTCTCACCCCCAGTCTACCTGTGAAGTCTACATGTGAAGAGGTTTGAGCTGGTTGCTCCAGCTCTGACCTCATGGCTCTCACAAGCCACTCTTGAGTTCCTATACCAATAATTTAGACATTTTCACCACTTCGTAACTAACCTAAGTTTTACTGCTTTTGCAACTTTCCTGAAGCATAACAACAAAAAGGTAATCCAGAGGACTTCAGTTTTCCTCAGACAGCATATTGGATGGCTTCACTTCTTGCAAAGCACATACACTTAGGAAAACATAGAGAGCTATAGGAAAACATAGAACTGATCAAAATACAAAAGTCAGAAATGGAGGCATTGTTGAGGTCCTGAGCTGACTTGTGGGTGAGGGGGTGGGGTAATGACATTGTGGTTTTTTGGCGGGGGCTCCAAATCATCCCAATTTGAATTGTTATTCACTCCCCAGAGAGAGCCATTGTGCACCCTTAGTATTTACACCATTGTAACAAAGGCTAATTATATTTTTAAGATTCTAGTGCTGCTTTTGGATAACAGCCCGCTTAAGCCAGAGCAGTCTGGTGGAATTCAACATGGCTGCTCTAGACCCAATTTCATGTAAATCTGCTTTACGAAATGCTCCCTGAGAGAGACAGTGCACACACCTGTCAAGTTACAGACGGCCTTTTAAAAAAGCTGCTTTTTCTTTTTCAATGTTAAGTCGACAGAATTTAAGTTTTGGGGATAACTTGCCAAAATGTATTCGATAACACACTCACACACCTATGAAAACACAGCGTTCCGTCAGAAATTCCACTAACTGGGCCTAAAGTTGCATTAGAGCCATACAGCTGCAAAAATATAAACTGTATCTATAATATATTTTATCACGGGGGGGGGGGGTTAATTCACTTTCTCCCCGAATGCAAAAGTCTCAGGTTATCCCCCAATAGACACTAGCATTCAGACACATATATATCCAGCATTGCTCAAAAATTCTAAGGAACTAAAAAAAAAAACCAAGTGCAGTCTTAAAATCTGTGATTAATATCAGTGCAAAGGTGCCTACCTGGTGTCAATACTATAATATTGATTTGATAAAACTGAAGAAATGTTGGTCAGCGAGGTTTGGAAAAGAGAAGGAACAAGTATACCTTCCAAGTGTTCTAATTTTCCAGGGACAGCCTCAGAATTACAGAAGCCAGTTTCTGATTTGATCCCACAATGTTCTGGTTGTCCTTTTTCTTCCCCTCCTCGTC